GTTAATAGTTAATCACAAGTCCTCGTGGGATCGACATCCGACTTTTAGTCACTTTATTACTTGACAACCGCATACACTTACGTGTGCGTTTGGCCGCAAAATAGCCAGAGTTTGCCAAGTCATTTGAAAAATAGCCATTATTTTGCTGTAACAGAGACCGGTCCAGCATAATATGCTGGAGCTCGGTGCACCTGTGCATGAACTTCCAGCATATTATGCTGGACCAATATACTTTGCTGGCTCCAGTGTAATATACTGGAGTTCCGGCAAAGTATACTGGAACTCCAAACCCCAGTATAATATACTGGAGTTCTAGTATATTATACTGGAATGCTGGAGTATTTTCGGATATGGAATAGTGTTTTCGTTCAGATTTACCTTTACATGAAAAGTGGCTAAATTTCGATGACTTTTGAAACTGTGGCTATTTTTGAATGATCACTTGTAAATCTGGCTATTTTTGAATTTCTTCCTGATCTTTTGGTAGTTGCCCAAGTCCGAGGGAGAAATTCAAAAATAGCCAGATTTACAAGTGGTCATTCAAAAATAGCCATAGTTTCAAAAGTAATCGAAATTTAGCCACTTTTCATGTAAAGATAAATCTGAACGAAAATACTGTTCAAAATCCGGAATATACTCAAGCATAATATACTGGAGTTCTAGCATAAGTATACTGGAACTCCAGTATATTATAATGGAGTTCCAGCATAAGTATACTGGAACTCCAGCATATTATAATGGAGATCCAGCATAAATATACTGGAACTCCACCATAATATACCGTTCCAGTATAATATGTTGGAAGTTCATACATATGTGCATCGATCTCCAGTATATTATACTGGACCGGTCCCTGTTGCAGCAAAATAGTGGCTATTTTTTAATGACTTTGCAAACGCTGGCTATTTTTGAATGACCAGTTCGAAAACTGGATAGCCCGTGCTATTTTAACCAAGTCCGATTACTACTTTTGTTTTGGTGGCCCAAGCCCCTTATACTCCGGAACCAGCCCAAGCTCCTCATTGTCTAGAACCATATTCAAGTTTTGCTTGCTGACATAACCACTAAAGAATTTCGAACTCATATTTCAAGAGTGTAACGAGTTGAGTCTAAGAGCTTTAAAGATTAAACCAATTAAATTTAAGTTAAGAATTCACCGGGACATAAGCACAATAATAGTTGTGACCAGTTCAAATCTAAGTGAAATTTTTTGAGAATTACTTTTGGTACATTATAACAATTCATATAATATGCCAGAACTGAAATGCAAAGAGCCGTTAGAGATGAATAAATGTAAATCGCCCACTCAAAGACATAATTTTTCAAATTATGCGTTGATTGTTAAAGGGTGTATAACCACTGGTGGAGCCACCTTATCCCAGAAAATTACACCGCATAATTAGGTACTAATTTTTTCTAGAATGTATATATACTATATATTGAATTCCAATGATCTCTTCGTATATTTACTTTTTTATATTTTGACATCCCTTAGTATAAAATCTGACTCTACCACTGTGTATAACGGTATATAAGAAGTTTCTAATTGGGTGGGTGCCCTAAGGGGTCGTTTGATATGGTGTATAAAATAATGTAAAATAACGTGTATTAGTAATGCATGAGTTAGTAATACAAGCATTAGTTATACAGAAATTATTTCTTATCCATTGTTTGGTATGGTGTATACAAAATTAAAATGTGTTGCATAATTTTTAAGAAAATTAGTTGTTTACAAAAATGCTCTCCATATTCTCTAGCTAGCTTTAAAGGACTTTAAGGATAATTTTATCTTTAATCATGCTAATGCATGCATTAATAGCCTTGATATCGGTAATACAATCGTTTGATATGTATTAGTTATACATAGGATAATATCAATTAGGTTGTATAACTAATACTTGCAGTAGTAATACATAGGTTGAAAAAGTATACCAAACTCCATTGCCTCTTTTTCATATCCTCGTGCCGAGGGTCTTTCGGAAACAACCTCTCTATCCTCCGGGGCAGGGGTAAGGTCTGCGTACACACTACCCTCACCAAACCTCACACGTGGGATTATACTGGATTGTTGTTGTAATTTATCCTACCAAACGAACCTTAAATGCAAATGGTAACACAGTTGTAGTGCAATGCATGCAATTGTCAATGCATTTTGGTATTGAGCTATCAACATCTTTTGTGGTCTCTCCCCTCATTATACAAAAAGTCACAGTTACAGGAATTAACTTGTCTTTCTTTGGACTTCACATGGTGGATTGGTTTTCCTTTAGCCTTATTGGTTACAACTTGTCGTTCACAGCCATAACCAAAGTTAATAAAGCATCCTATACACCTCTCTCTCTCTCTCTTCTATAGCAGCTACTACTATTTACTTTCTACTTTGCAGCTGTACTGTATGAGAGGGGCGGGGGGGGGGGGTGCCTTATTACTCAGACATGGACCCTCCCCGCAAACCCCACTTATAGCGGACAGTGACCATACAATTAGTGGGGTTAAAAGGAAAAAACCAAAAAATAAGGTTACAGTTACCTTTGGTAACTTTTTATTTTCAGGGAAGTTTTACTGTTTCCGATATACTAATGATATTCCTAGTGTGTGAAAACTTTAGTAGACTCGTTTGGAGAATATTTGCTTGAAACGAATAATAATCATATGTAATTAAAGTTGACAAAGAATATTTAGAATAATATTGATGCTCGTTTGGAGAATATTTGGTTGAAAAATTCAAAAAAATGGGTATTTGAAGTTGTAGCGAAAAAATAATATTTGGAAGTTGAATTCTGTTTGGACATGAATTACCTTTTTTTTTTTTTAGGTTTCCCATCCGGTGTTCGGTACCCGCATTGGAGCCCGACTATATCCGGATTCGCGCCGCGTAGGACCCCTTTCGGGGGGGAAGCGCTCCCTACCAGGATTTTCCATCCCAGGGCTCGAACTCGAGCCTCTGCGAGACCTCTGGTTAAGGGAGGAATGGTGCCAAGGCAATGGAACAGTAGTCGGAGAGGGAAGAAAAGAAGAGGAAATGCTAAAGTAAAAGCTATACTAGGGTTAACTAATATGAATTTTCATTGATGTCTTGCCAAAAATGCAGAGAATTAACTATATAGAGGAATATCCTCTGCAGGACCACTACTAAGGGATAAGGTCGTACACCTCTCTACTGACAGTACTATCGAGGACCAAAAGTGTCCTGGATAAAGAAATTACAGACTCAAATTGCTAATTCTGTAAACATAAATTAAACTTAAGAGGACTAAAGTGTAACAACGAAACTTCCTATTTTAATAACATTCAACTAACCTCTAACGGTCAGGTACACCTCCGCAAGCGACGAGTACCACTCCTCCCAGCCAGCGTAATTCTTTCTTGCATCATTGCCCTTCCCTAAAAACCTTCCTTGTCCTCAGAAGAAATGAGGGAAACTTCAACTTCATCACTGCATAATCTTCCCAAGTAGCTCTGTTCCTTTGTCATTTGGACCATTGAACCAGAATTTGAGGGACTGCCTTGTTTCCTCGTTTGATCATCCTTCTGCCCAAGACCTCCTGAGGTTCACACAGTAGGGACTAGTAAACATCCAATCACTGGAGGATGGTTGATTTTATCAGGTATAGCATAACAAGGCTTGAGCTGTGAAACATGAAAAGTAGGGTGGACTAGCACATGAGAAGGAAGTGAGAGTTTGTAGGCAACTGGACCAAATTTTCTGCAGGATCTGATATGGACCATAGTACTTAGCAGAAACTTAGTAAACGAATGGTTTGAAAGAGTGATCTGTCGGTAAAGGTTGAAGTTTGAGATAAACCCAATCTCCTTCATTGTAGTTCCTGTCACCTATGCTTGTTGGCCAAAGCTGGACATCCTTTGTTGTGCCCTGTGAATGTGGAATTTCAACAGCTGAACCTTCAATCCCTAGTAGTGAGGCTTCGATCCACTTCTTCATCAGCAGCATCAACCTGGTAGGTAGGGTAGATGGATAGGAGGTGGTTGATCCATAGAGGGCCTCATAAGGTGTGATTTGGATGGCTGAATGAAAGGTAGTATTGTACCACCATTCTGCCAATGACAAATAGGAAGCCCAGTCCTGTTGGCTATCAGCACAAAAACACCTTAAATATGTCTCCACAGTCCTATTGAGCACCTCAGTTTGACCATCGGTTTGAGGATGATATGCTGTGGAAGTGCTGAGAGTTACCCTTTGCATGGCAAAAAGATCCTGCCAAATCTTGCTCACAAATATTGGATCCCTGTCACTGATTATATTCTCTGGCATACCATGTAGCTTGTAAACATGATCCAAGAACACCTGGGCCACAGAGGTGGCAGTGTAAGGATGGTTGATGGCAATAAAATGGCATACTTGGTGAGTCTGTCCACCACCACTAGTATAAGTTGTTTTGCCCTTGGACTTAGGGAGCCCATCAATAAAGTCCATGCTAATGCTGGCCCAAGCAGTGTTAGGAATTGTAATGGCTGAACAATCCAGGATAGGCACTATTATCATACTTGCTCTCTTTGACATGTTGCACATTGCCTACAATAAGTTGCCCACATCTTCCTTGAGCCCTTTCAAGTAGAAGGAGATTAGATAACCTTTTGTAGGTGTTTTCTATTCCAGAAATGACCACCTATAGGTTAATCATGCCATACTCTAAAGGATTTCTTGCCTCAGAGAACTATCATTTCCACTACTAGTTTGCCCTTCTTCTCACGCTGTTGGCTCACAAATGTATACCCCTTCTGCTCTTCCCCCTGCTTCTGGATGGTGTGCTATGATCTCTGCAGACCTCTTTGTCTTTTTTCCCAGCTTGTCCTTGATTCTTTGAAGGAGCTTCATGGCTAGTTGGAGTGAGCAAAAATCATTGCCAAATTCCCCTAATGGAAACTCTGGATAGGAATCAGCTGCCTTGTTCTCTGTCTTCCCTTTATATTCTATCACAAAATCAAATTGCATGAGCTTGGATATCATTTATTTTGTGATCCAGTGTGAAGCTTCTGATCTAACAGAACTTCAGTGCCTTCTGGTCAGTTCTTACCACAAAGTGTCTTCCCATTAGATATTGTGCCCATTTGGTAACAGCCATGACAAGAGCTAACAGTTCCTTGTCATAAACTGACAAAGCTTGATGCCTTCCTGATAAACCTTTGCTGAGATAGGCTATAGGGTGACCATCTTGCATTAACACAGCCCCAACACCATAGTCACATGCATCAGTTTCCACTACAAACATAAGCTGGCTGCTTGGAAGTGCCAGCACTGGTGCTGATGTGAGGGCTGTTTTTAGATTGTTGAATGCTACCTCTGCCTTGTTAGACCATTGGAACCCATCTTTCTTGAGCAGCTCTATCAAGGGCCTACTGATCACTCCATAATGCTTGATGAATCTCCTATAATAACCTGCCAACCCTAAGAAGCCCCTTAGTTCCCTGACATTCTTTGGTGAAGGCCATGACTGTACTGCAGCAATCTTCTTAGGGTCAGTTGCTACCCCTTCAGCAGATATAATGTGCCCCAAATATTCAATTCTACTGGCCCCAAAAGAACATATTGATTTCCTTGCAAACAGATGGTGTTTCACTAATAACTCAAATGTTATCCTAAGATGTACCAAGTGCTCATGCATGTTCCTGCTGAATACTAGGATATCATCAAAGAATGCCAAAATAAATTTCCTGAGATGCTCCTTGAACACATTATTCATCAAACTCTGGAAGCAAGAGGGGGCATTGGTAAGTCCAAAAGGCATTACCAAATACTCATAGTGCCCTGAGTGGGTTCTGAATGCTGTCTTGGCTATATCTTCTGTGGTCATCCTGATCTGGTGGTACCCAGACCTAAGGTCTATCTTGGAGTAGACCTGTGAACCACCCAATTCATCCAGAAGTTCTTCTATGATTGGGATAGGGAACTTGTCTTTGATGGTGGCCTTGTTTAGGCCCCTGTAATCCACACACAGCCTCCAACTGCCATCTTTTTTTCCTACTAGAACTACTGGGGATGCATATGGACTGGAACTTGGCTGCACAATTCCTTGATCAAGCATATCCTGCACTAACCTTTCAATGATATCCTTCTGTGATGAAGAATACCTGTAAGGTCTGAGATTTACAGGATTACACCCTGCCTGCAATGGTATTTTGTGATCAAATGGTCCTCTAGAGGGAGGTAATCCCTTAGGATCAGTGAACAGCTGATGGTACTCCTCAATCAATGGCTGCATCTGTGAAGGTATGTTGATGCTATCCTCTGTTTGTGCCTCCTCCCTGGGCAGTACTCTCAACATAAATAGTTGTCCCCCATTGTTAGCTAGTTTATCCAACTTCTTAGCCTCCACAGTTTTTACCTTGTCCACCTCCCCCTTCAATATACACTCCCTTCCTTGGTAATTGTATCCCAAGGTAAGCTCCTGAAAGTTCAGCTTAACATCCCCTAATGGCAGCAGCCATTGTACTCCCAATATCAAGTCACAAGAGCCCAATGGTAACAGTAGAAAATCTGCTGTATAAGTGACCCCTTGCAGCAGCCAAGTCAAGTTCTTACAAAGTTCATTTGTCTGCCTATTGTTCCCATCTGCCACATTGATAGTTTGAGGATTAATCTTCAGGGTAGCAATTCCCAGGCTTCTTGCTACATCATCATCAATGAAATTGTGTGTACTACCAGGGTCGACCAATATACTTAGTGGTCTTTTCTGGCAATAACCAGTCACTCTTAAATTAAGGAATGTTGGCACTCCATGAAGAGCATGGACTGATATTTCACACACTTCTCCCTTCACCTCTTCTCCTGCTTCTTCAGTTACCTCTGCAGGTTCCTCTACCAATACTAGGTCTCCTGATTCTTCCTCCTCTTGTCCTTCTTCTTCCACCTCCAACAAATACAACTGTTTGGAGCTACTACACTTATGACCAGGAAAAAATTTCTCATCACAAAAAAAACATAATCCCTTCTGCCTCTTTTCATTCATTTCAGCTGTAGTTAACTTCCTTGTATTCCCTTTGTTCCAGTTAGCAGCAGCCTCTCTTTTAAGCATGTTTCCTTCCTTCTTAGGGAAACCTCCCTTTGAAGAAGATCCATAAGTGTTGCTCCTAGTATGAGATGACCCTCCACTGTACAGTGTGGACTTAATCATCTTCAACTGAGCATTCACTTGAGCTTCAGTGTTTCTAGCCAACTGGTAAGCCTGGGGTAGGGAAAAGGGTCGATGACTCTTCACAGTAAATCTAATTTCTGGTTTGAGACCAGTGATGAAAGCACTAATAGCATATTCAGGAAGGATGTGCAGCCGGGTCATGATCCTATCAAACTCCTTCTGGTAATCTTCCACCACTCCCACTTGCCTTACTAGCTTTTGCTCAGACATAGAGTCAGCATACTCAGCCCCAAACCTATCTATGAGAGCATACACATACTCATCCCAGCTAGGGTAGGGTAAGTGAGATCTACTTCTCAAATAGGCAAGATGCCACTCTATGGCTATGTCATCAAAATGTATAGAAGCCACCTTAACCCTTTGATTATAATCAACTTCAGTTAGTTAGAAAAATTGTTCTACCTTACAAAGCCAAGCCCTAAGGTTGAGGCCATTGAAACGAGGGAACTCCAGCTTGGTCATCCTGGTCAGATTTGTTCCTCTTGGTGATGTTGCAGTCGAGTTCTGAGCTGCAGGAGGTGGTTCACCACCACCATTTTGTCCAGCTGAAGTTTGTCCTTGAGCATAACCCCCTCTATTGTTGCCGACAGCAGTAGAATGTCCTTGAACAGGAGCTGTAAAGGTTGGTCTGTGGGGAGAAGCAACCCCCCTTGGCCCTTGAAATTGAGGCAAGGGCCCAAACCCCAAGTGGTAGGCAGCTGGAGAAAACTGATTTGTGGTAATACCACCATGTACCCACGCAGCAGGGTTGCCTGTAGGGGTGTAGATCTCGCCTCCTCCATCCAAGTCTTCTATCCCCTTTCCTCGATCATACCTCTTCACAGCATCAATAGACTCTTTCAGCTCAGCAAAATCCCTTTCATGTTGATTCTCGAGCTGAGTCTGCCTCACCGAGAAATTTGCTATCTCGACTGTCATTCTCTCAAACATAGACTTAATCTTATCCATATTTGCCATTGTTATCACCCACAGAGCTCAAGAGAGTGCTCTGATACCAAATGGTGCCAAAGGCAATGGAATAGTAGTCGGAGAGGGAAGAAAAGAAGAGGAAATGCTAAGTAAAAGCTATACCAGGGTTAACTAATATGAATTTTCATTGATGTCCTGCCAAAAATGCAGAGAATTACACTATATAGAGGAATATCCTCTACAGGACCACTACTAAGGGATAAGGTCGTACACCTCTCTACTGACAGTACTATCGAGGGCCAAAATTGTCCTGGATAAAGAAATTACAGACTCAATTGCTAATTCTATAAACATAAATTAAAACTTAAGAGGACTAAAGTGTAACAACTGAAACTTCCTATTTTAATAACATTCAACTAACTCTAACGGTCAGGTACACCTCCGCAAGCGACGAGTACCACTCCTCCCAGCCAGCGTAATTCTTTCTTGCATCAGAGGAGCAGTCCCATCCACTGCACCACATCCATGAATTACCTTTGATATTGAGTTTTTGTAGCGAAATACATTATTTCACTTGAAATATTTGTTAAACTAAATTTTCAACTTCAAATACTCTATCCCAAGTTGAAGTTAAAATAAATCAATAACAGACAACACGTCGCCTAATTAATTCGTCTCCCATTTAGTCGTAAGCTTCTCCATAATGCAAATTTTAGTGTACGATTGTAGTTGAGGGGACAAAAAAGTTTGGCATATTAATTTAAACTTACACATTATAAGTTTGAATAATTTTGGTTCTTATGATATAGATACTCCCACACCTAAATTAAAATGTTCGTTTTCTGTCTCGAAAGTAGAGCTGACAATATGGGCCGGGCCGGCCCATCATTTTTTAAAATATAATTTTATATTTTTTCTTTAAGTTTTGACCTGAAAAAAGATAATTATTTAAAAGTTAAAAAATATCTTATTGGAAAAAAGTCGTAAAACTTAATAACTTTTTATATTGTTCCAATATATCACAATAAATACTTAAAAAAATAAAAGACAGGACTATATTTCATTCACTAAAAGTCAAAACTTAAAACAAACTATTCAAGAGAACGTTCATGATGCTTATGTGATAATCCAACACATCATCTTCATCAAACACATTTGAATCCGCTTGTGACAAGGTTGTCTTAACATCTTCACTTTCATCTACAATTCATATGCAATATTAATTAGTTAAATATTAAAAATAATTAAATTTTAAAATTAATAATATTTAAATTCACATAAAAAATATTACCATGTTGGCCCAAGCAAAGGTTAGTTTTGAAGACTGACAAAGGAACTCAGGATGAACCAGGTCCTTCCCTCAGGTGCACAAAAACGGGCAGATTCGAGCATGTGGGTTGCACGTGAAGGAGATAAGCTTAACTTGGTGTATTTAATATCTCCTGATCGAAAAGGTTGCATAATTGATAAGGACAAGGAGTCCTTAATCAAAGAGAACACAATTCAAGATAGGGAAGGAGTTAGAAGTTGAAATCAACTAGAACTCTTCCACCAAGGAAGAGTTGCATCAGAACTCTAGTTATTTCTTCATCTACTAACTCTATAAATTGCAGGATGTTCTCACATTAAAGGTGTTGCACAAAAATGCAGAAGTTAAACGTGAATTGAGAGCAAAATAGCAAGGCTTTTTGCAAGCAGTTCGTGTGTCATTCAAGTGTGCAAACCTGAAGGTACATGAACCAGATTGAAGAACCAGCTCCATAAAGAGTTTTATGTGTCTTTCTTTATTTCTAGTTCAATTGTAGTAGGTGTTTTCATATTGTACCTTTCAGCTTTATCTAGAAGCAATTGTAATGGGTATTTTGAGTATTCAAGTTAGAGTTCACTTGAAGTTGCCGCAGCAGTTAGAGGCTGGTTGCTACAACGGGATTAGAGTTAATCCTTAGGTTTACTAAGAGTTTTGTAAATGCTGTTTTGGCTCAGTGATTTTAGTGGAAGTTTGAGAAAATCCCACTGAGTAGTAGGTCGTGGTTTTTTCACCTTTTGAGCCAGGTGTTTTCCACGTAAAAATCTCCGTGTTCTTTATTTTATGTACTTATTATTCCGCAAACAGTAGTAGTTAGTACACCTAGAAGAACCAGGTTCTTCTAGAGCGAAAATTGGGTACCACACAAATCACCTCCCCTCTTGTGTGGTATTGACGTTTAGAACATCATACCACTTTGAGTTCGGGAAAACTTGTGCAGCCAATTTCGAGTAGTAACAAGTATTTGGACATTTTCATAATAAATGCAACTTCTGTACTTTGTAAGAACACGCCACCAATGCTAAATGTTGATTCCGATGGTACAATGGTAATAAGAATGCTAAGTACATCACGCACCGTCATTGAAAGATCGGGATATTTTCTAGAATGGTCCTTCCAATACATGACAACATCATCTCTTGAAACTTCTCAAGATCAAGTTTTGGTTCCTCTAGTAAAGATCCAATTCTGACTTTCCATCTCTAAAGGCAGTATATTTTTTATTTTTAATATATTTTAAATAAGTATTTTATTAGGTCCCACTAGCCGGGCCGGCCCGAGCCTCGGTCAAATCTCACGGGTCCACGGGCTTACTCGGGTCGGGCTTAAAGCCTCGTTTTTAAACGGGCTCCAAAAATTCTAGCCCTAACCCTGCTAAATCATGGCTGGGCTGGCCCAACGGGCCAAGCCCATATTGACGACTCTAACGCTAGCCCTGACTTTTATAATAGTGTATATAAATAGATTGACAGATATAAATTATTAATTATGTCATGATTTAATTAACAAATATAGCAAAATAGAACACTATACAATCAAATATTAATAAGCAATCATTATATAACTTAGATTTTTTTTTAGGTCTTGATAATTTTTTAACTTGACGGTCACTTGATCCATTATATTGTTTCATCATCTAACGTGTCTTTGTTATTTACGTCTACAATTTAAAATTTTAATTTAAATCTTTTCAATTCACTGACAATGAGAATGGCTCTAGTCTGTCACATTATTAATGGTATTATTTATCTTACA